GCGGGAGGTCCGGGTTTGCAGGAACCGACGGCAAGGCAATGTCTGTCTCTCCTTGTGGTGGTGGTTCTTGGCCCTGTTTGCCGTCCTGCGCTTCGACTTGTATTTCGTCTTTGAGCCGGGCAAGTACGTCGTCCACCTCTTGCGCCATTTGCTCCCCGTCCGAGTCATCCGAGTCGGCTGCTTGCTTTGCCTTGTTGCCGTCGGGGTCCTTGGGTATTTGGGCTGATAATTGCTCCAGGAGGGCGTGGACATGTTCGTCCTTGGACTCGGGTTCGGGGGTAACAGGGTTGTCAAGGTCCGCGAGCATCTCCTCTAGTGCCCTGTCGTCTGTTTCAAAGAGGGCGTCTACATCGTCCTCGCTGGTTGGGGTCTTTTTTGAACCTGGCGCATCTGCTGTTTGTGTTGTGGCCCGCTCTGTGGTTTTGGCAGACGCTGGCGAGATAGGTCCATCTGCCTGGCTGCGGAGATTCTTGAGTCGGGCGGCGAGCATGTCCCCCTTTGTTGGCGTCTTGGCTCGCTCAATGACGTCGAATTTTATACTATGGATGTTAGTGGTCCGCATTTTGACACTATTGAAATGGACGAGGGGCGATGTGCCGTACGGATTTGATGCTGGGATTTTGGGCGATCCGCCCTCACCGCGGAGGGCTTGAAGCCTCGAGAGGAGTGAGTTATCGACGTCATCAGACATGTGGACTTGTTTGCACCCTGGATGCGTCTGGGAATAACCCTCCTAGCGTCTGTAGACGAGACTTTGTGCCTTTTGTGAAGGCTCCGGGCTGTCGTTTGAGATGAGGTGAGCAGCAGGTCAGGTGAGTAGGTTCAAGGTTGCGCAGCCACACGTCTGAGTGAAAATGCGCAACTGGGAGTGGGGATTGGCATCTGGAGTCCATCTGCAGCCTTGCATTTACATCCATAGCATCACCACTACACATAGGTACGGCTTGGCAACAATTTCTCTATAAAATGATCTAAAGTCTAATGAATAACACAAACCTGGTCTCATCACTCATCATGGTATCGTTCCCTCCAACTCCAATCACTGCCCATCAGGCCGCAACCAATCAAAGGTGTGCAGAAGTTCAAAATTAAAAAAGTCATTCATGTCTCCCGAAAACCCGACTCCAAAATCACCAACCCAGTCCATCGGCGCGGTGACCTGCGGCGCGCCCTCATTCAAAGCCTGGTCTAAAACGTGCCGCACCGCCTTCTTCACACTGCTGCAGCTCTCCGTGTTGGGAGCCATGGGACCAACCCAGTCCAGAAATCCAACCAGCAGACTGAGTTGCTGGATCAAGCGCGACCTCGTAATCGGGGGGTTGGTGCTACTACTGCGGCTCGGGGTGGTTGCTACTGAGCCCCGACCACGGAGCAATTCCATGCAAAGAATACCGGCGGCCGGCGCGGCATAGCACATCAGTAGCCATTCGGAGTCGCCCGACACGCCGAATAACTTTTCCTGGTGCGTCCAGAATATGAGTGTCAGAGAGATCATTTCGAAGCTGATGTCGATGATTTCGGAGCCGAGCACGGAGCTGCCTTTGCTGAGGAGACGCTCGATGAAGAACATGTTTTGGAGGTGGTCGAGGCGGATCATGACGCGGCAGTACAGGGTAGGCCCGTCCGTGTCTGGATCATTTATATCCGTGTCGCGGTAGATGAGGACTTTGGGGAACCGGTCTAGGGCCTCCAGCTCTCTCCTCCGCAAGTCGTTTCTGGTGCTGGAGTTAGCCAGGAGGACATGCCGATGGGTACACGACCGCCACTTACAAGACTTGGTCTGTATCACCACTCGGCGTGATCTGGAGCGCGATTTCCAAAATCTGCTCCTTGATCAGAGTCAGTATCATCTTGGCTCTCATCATGGTCCCGGAGAAAATCTTGCCCCTGTTGTTCCACCCGTGCTCGTCAACATTGGGACTGTTGGCCAGCGAGTTGCCGTCGCTGTTTAGCAACTCCTCGTCGCTGACATCTAGCGGCAGCGGTGTCGTGGCAAACCTGCTGCCAATGAGCGGAGGCCGGCCGGTAAATGTAGCAACGACTTTGTCGCTCTTGAAGATCATGCTGTAAAGCCGACGCTTCATCTCCGAGCTGATGGAGTGGTCATTGATCATGGAAGGCGGCGTGACGTGTAAACCAAGGAAGCTAGTCAGAGCGGCAAGCTCCCCGTGGATTCTCCAGAACTGAATGCCTATTGACCAGTCAGCTTACATGGTGGTGAAAAGCGTGAAGAGGAAAAAAAACAGACGTACTTGCATCGCCGCTGATGATGGACTGAATAATGCCGTATCTGTACAGTAGGATCGCAAGCAATGAATTGGCCGTGGAGCCATTCTTGCATATATCCACGCACATGCCCGCACCGAGCGTATACTTGTTGAGCAGTCTCCGTCGATCAGTATCACGCAGTTGCTGGGTCTCGCGGAGCTCAGCATTCTCGGGGAGCGATTTTGTGCCCAGTGCCCAGTAGCAAAACAGGAGCCCAAGCGACTCCCACCGCATCTTTTGGCCGGAAAATGACCGCAGCCACGCGATTGGATCTGTGTGCTCTTCCCGGAGTGGTATCGAGCTGTTCCGACACAGAATCTTAGCCATGGTTGTCAGGTTGTCCTGCGTCCTCGTGCCCTCGAGCACATCGCCAAACGTGATCCATAGGCTCTCGTTCAATATCTGTGCCGCAAGCCGACACCACCCGTCAATTGGATTTACATAAAGCTTAAACAAGGCACTGCAGGTCGCACGATCTGGGATGGACCGCAGAATGCTCAGTGACCTAGAGGACGGGTGTTCTTCGAACAAGGCAAACTGCAGGTCCTCGGCTTGCTCCGGGGTTCGTGCACTCTGCGGCAAGACAGTCTGGGTATCCTGGAAGACGGCGGAAAAGCTGGTGGCCCCCAGATATCCCACGTTATTGTCAGGCTGAGGTGAGAAGTCGCGCGGGAGCTCAGTCGGCGGCTGCGTGGCAAGGCGTGGTGAGGGCGAAGCAGGGGGCGTAAACTTGAGCCGCTTTTGCGGCGGCTGGTCAATGACGTATATGCACGAGTCCATGATATTTCCGCGCCGGCACCTCGAACAGACGGGCAATTGATGGTCGCACGCTACCTTGCGCTTGCGACATGGTTCACACGCCTGCTGACGGCCGTTGCGACGACGTGGAGCACTCCCTTGAGCGCCGTCGAGGCGGCTGGGTTCAGGAACAGATGTCATTTGAGGGCGGCGGCACAATATGCTGCTGGCATTCTACAGCATGTTTTTGAATGCTGAGGATAAATCGGCACGGCTCGTTCCTTGTTCGATTGGTCAAGTGTGAATCATGGCAGAGCGGCATCGCAGGTGGCTTTGGAAGACGAATGGTGTAAGTCGGTGCTCGGCGCTCGGCGCTCGGCTCTCGGCTTAACGATGTCCAAGTTGTCTGGTGCGAGTGAGGCTTGTGATGCGACAAGATTTATGTTGCCAGAGTGCTTGTAACTTTTGGCCACATTGGCAAACTGGGGTGCATTTTGTCGCATCTATGTTTTGTTGCCCTTTCTTGTAGCCTGCATGATCACAGTCGCTGTGCAAGAGATTGAAGCCGTGGCACAATCCAAGTAGCGTCGAAACCGATCGCGCCTTCGACAGCTACATGAGCTCTCCATAGGTGGCTCATCCTAACGTCCTAGTGATGGGCATTAAAACGTCAACTGGTTGTTTCCTCAGTCAAACGCCCAGTGGCGCCTAGCCGCAGGCGAAGCAGATCACGGGTTTTGCGATGCCCACTAGGCAGCGAGTCCAGACGCTTTGGTGATGGCGAATGGCTTGTGATGGTCAGGTCCAATGTCGTCTTCGGTGCCGAGTACGGCCACATGCAGGTTTGCTGGGGTGAGGCTCTCTCCAAGGCACTGAGCTTGTGGAGGCTGCGCCTCACAACCTTAAGCCATGTGGAGTGCGTGATTCTGCAGAACAAATGGAAGATTCCAAAGCGATGAGGTGCAGCGCCAGGGCGCAGGCGCTGGACTGAACATGGCCGTCTGTTCATTCATTGTTCGAGTACTCCGTATTTTGGTAAACATGTCAAGATGCTAGGTACTTTGTGCTCTTGATTAAGGATTTCGTCCGTCTTGGCAAGACCCTGAATACTTTTAGCTGATTTCCATTGCCCACATTTCATTCAGACGCTGTCAAAATGAAAGGACAGCGACTATGGCAAAGCAAGCCGAGCGTACTCCAGCTGTAATACGGAGAGGGGACTACTCACAAAGGACTTCGATCGCCAGTCATTTTGTGGTTGCAACTACGTATGTATATCACAAAAGGCCTGGCGTCACAAAGGATATGGATGTCGCTTTCTAGTGGTAAAGGAACGAACAAAGTCATGATGCAGCCAGTTGTGCCGGAGCCCACCATCCGGATCCTTGCACACGTACTCCGTACTCCAGTCCTTTCAATGTTTGCTCAAATCAACCAGAGTACAAAATGAAATGCGTACCAGCCACACCATTCAGCGTCCCAGTGTTTAGCGGCACGGATGTTGCACATGCATGCATGTGCCCCGGTCAGCCCCTGTTCAGCCACTGTTGGCGGATCGAGAGCATCCAAATGGCAATTGATGACGTCCAGAGGACGCCACAGCGAGGGTGCATTCATCGTTCCGGCTTGTCGGAGTGAGGAACATCAAACCAACGCCAAGACAACACGCTCGCTAGTCCCATTACTCCTTCCCCATCTTACCCAGACTAAAATCATTGCTATTAAAGGCACTGGCCTCCCCTGGCTGCCTCAAGTTCACATTTCTTTATCCACAGTTTACACTCCGTACTCTTTGCAGCAATCAGCATTTTGTCACAATACACTTTTGCATCATCACTGACGACCCGACAACCCGATAAACCCAGTGCGGTCGCTTTTGGTTTCCCTCTAGGCCCTGCATACATACGTCTGCGCGGGCCTCCAAGTCGACCTTCGCTGGCATTTGCCCCCGGCAATCGGTCGCATCTGGTGACCCACCCATATATACACTCAACATGCGGTTCGACTTCACATTCCTTGCAGCGATACTGCTGTCCAGTACTGCCGCAAACGTTATTGAACCTCAACATGCCGTTAGAATAGAAGACGTCACGCAAGGCGACGACTTGTTCAAGCGAAAAGGTGGTGGCGGTGGCGGCGGTCGAGGAGGAAGTAGTGGCGGAAGCAGCGGCGGCTCGCGAGGAGGCAGTAGTGGAAGCAGTGGGAGCAGCGGCAGTGGTAGTCGTGGCTCCGGCTCAGGTGGTGGATCGTAAGTGCTGTACCCCAACGAATCGCTACCACGGCTGAGATACTTACAATTGTTGCTTCAGGCGTGGAAATACCGCCCCTGGCTCCAATGCTGGTGGCACCTCGCGGGGAGGTTCGGGACCTCCTCGTGCATTTGGCGGCGGTTCCTACTACGGCGGAGGTGCGGCAAGGCCCTACAGATCTGGTGGCATTTCACCCCTCGGTGGTGCTGCCATTGGCCTTGCAGCCGGAGCTCTCCTCTTCTGGCCTGGCCGTTGGCTTTACGGGGCGTATCTATACCCTTACCATAACCACTATGTCTTCCACAACGCCACCACCAACAAAGAAGAGAGTCTTCCTGTTGTTTGCGCTTGTGGCACGTATGAAGTATGCGGCTGTGATGAGAACAACAGCACAATGACAGAACTTGTCGGCAACGGCACTTACGATGCTCTCAACAAGTCTATCATCAACGTCGGGGATTACAAAGGTCAAAAGACGCTCCTCGTCAATGGAACCCTTCCCAACGGCACCACTGTGGATGGTCCAGATGAAGGCGCTGGTGTTGGTGTTGGCATGAAAAGTTTGGTTGAAGCTGCTGGCCTGTGGCCCGCTGTGGTTTGTGTTATCGCTGCCATCTGCCTTGCCTAAGCTGTGATGCGACAGCTCTGTTTGTTCCGCTTCAACAAGCTCGCCCTTGTTGGTAGCATTTGTACGATTCTTGATGACAGGTTGTGGTCAAATGATACCCAGCGGCATTAGAGATGTCAGTGTTTTTTCTTCTTCTTCCAGATATATAGTATTTTGCGTTGCTGAGCGTCAGCACTGCTGGGACAGCGTTTACAGGGATTTCAGACGACAACAGTTTTGGAGTTTGTCATTGAGAACAATAGACATTAGATGTATTGCAATACGAGTAAAGCCCCATGCATCACCCTTGGGGATAATTTTTTTTTTGGTTTTTTGGGGGCAAATATATTATGCCTGCCGTTGTACTTTCCGCCTAAAATATTTCCTATGGAGCACGGTACTTTTAGACCATTTAGGCCAAGCGCTGGCAACTTGGGTGTGCGATGTCCTTGTAAAGAATCTTTATACTCACTCCAGTGGAAAACGCAAACCTCCCCGATAGAATCCTGATATGCAATAGCGATGCTCACAGATCTACCATCAGTTTTTTTAGACGTCTAAAACGATAGCCATATGATTTTGTACATGCCTTTACCGTGATTTACGGATCGAGCCATCACGTGGTGCTTGCTGACTCAGCATGAATGCCGACAACCCCCAACTCTCTCTCCATCTTCCAACCTCAGCTGTGCAACCGTGAAGGGCGCCAAATTCAAAACCGTCGCATTCCTCGCCATTCCTGTCCCCTCTCATCGAACTTCAGCCTAAACCGTCGCGTTTAAAATTTTCTACTCAACAAAGCATGTTTTAGGCGCTCTGGTGCGCGCCACCCCTCCGGAGGAAGCTCCACAAGAGTACGCGCGACCGAAAACATCATGGCCGACGACACAGAGTTCTCGTCCTTTGACGAGAACGCTTGGAAGGCACAGGATGCTGCTGATGATCGCGAAATCGCTCGACTACTAGAGCAGAGCCAAGAAGGCGGCAACAGCTCCTTGAAGCTCGATGATACTCCGTTCGATCAATCCAACAAGGCCGATGATGCCCAAGATTTCGAAGACATCAGTGATGATGATCTGCCAGACGAGGAGCCGAGCGCCAGCACCTCGTTGGAGCTTCCGGCACTGACTGATGACGGAGGTACCAGCAACGATGCAGACGATTTGTTTGGAGAAGGGCCCTCTTCTCCGACAGACCCCATTTTAGGACCACCATCGCCAGGTCCCCGCGTCCGCGACACAGACACTGCTGATGACTCTCACCCTGTTGACTCGAGCCTTAGTTTCGCAGCCATCAACTTCGACCCTGATCCCCACCTGAACGGAGCTGCGAATCAAGACCCCGATATTCCAGCCGTTGTGGAATCACACGAAGACTTGCTGAAAGCTGCATGGCCTGCATTCAAGAAGGGGCGTGTATTGACGTGGAGTGAACTTCTGCCACCGAAGAAGGCAACATGGAAGGAGAAGAAGCCGCTAAAGAAACCCAAGCATCTGGTTACTAGTAAGCTGAACCTCGACCTCGCTGCGGATCAAGAGAAGATGTTTCGAATTCCGGGAACTGCGACTTCTGGACCGAATCACCGGGCCCTGGAATCGTCGCTTGCCGGTTTTGTTCGATGCGAAAATAATGGGTCAAACCAAGAGGAGGATAGATCACATTTTGACTTGGACCAGGAATCAGATTCCGAAACTGTTGTGGGATTCACATTGCAAGATATTGATCTAGCATGCCAGGATTGGGGCGACCAAATTAACGCAGTCGAGACGGAGTTCAAGAAACGTGTCGCTGCTGAAAAGGAACTCCTTAAACCAAAGAAGCTAGTTGAGGATCACGATGATGAGTGGGATGCCGAGTTTCTGATGGATACAATGGATGAGCAACCCCAACAGCCCAAGAAAAGGAGAGCAGTCAAATTTGGACTGCCAGAAATACCTCGATATGCTGCTTCTACGTTTGATAACTTCGAAGATGTGACTCGACGAGGCGCCAAGCGTGTTCACTTAGACATGAACGACCCGCACCTGCTGCTGGACACTGACATGCATCTCCGTGCAAAACGACCTCGGCTGGATTCAAAGGTTAAACGTATGGCGAATGGCAATATGGGCCGAGATATTTCGCAGCGCTTCAATCTCTCAAACGATGAAGCGTATGAGCTGCTCAAGGAAAACCACCAGAGCAAAGTCCGCGCTACTCTGGGCAATATTTCTGTGGAGCACAGCATGCCTGCCATCAAGCTGTCGTGGCCGTACTACAAGGTCAAGCTCGGTGGCACCACAGACGAGTATCACCGCCCGCGCTTCCGTTACAAGAAGTTCTCTGGGCATATCATCAAGTTTGACAAGCCTCAGCATCACAAGCGCAAGATGATGAAGGGCAAGGCTCATGAAGTGTATCGTCTATCCAAGGATCTCAGCCTTAGCGACAACTCAACAGCTGTGCTATTCGAATACTGTGAACCCAGACCTCGAGTCTTGAACAACTTCGGCATGGGTAGCAAACTGATCAATTACTATCGGCGCAAGGACAACAATGAGGATGATCAGCTACCCAAGCAAGAGTTGGGCGAATATCGTATGCTGCTGCCGGAAGATCGATCACCTTTTTCGCTGTTTGGAACCGTTGATTCAGGTGAAACGGTACCTACACTGCATAATGAAATGTATAGGGCGCCCGTGTTCAAGCACATGCCACGTGGCACCGATTTTCTGGTCGTCCGAAGCACAACAGGCGTGGAGGGTTCGAAATGGCATCTACACAAGATCGACCACCTACACGTTGTTGGCCAGACCTTTCCTTCCGTGGATGTTCCCGGTCCCCATAGTAGACGTGTCACGAATGCGTCCAAGAACAGAATGAAGATGCTGGCTTTCCGGATGATCAGGCATAGCCAGACAGACAACTGCCAGCTATCAGATATTACAAAGCACATAGCAGACTCCACCGACACTCAAAACAGGCAAAAGCTCAAGGAATTCCTACAATATGATCGGGAGAGTGGTGAAAAGGGCATGTGGCGCTTGAAGCCAAACGAGATCTTGCCCGACGAGAATGCGATTCGCGCCATGATCAAGCCTGAGGAGGTAAGTCTTCTGGATGCCATGCAACTAGGTATAAAGGAGCTCGAGGACGCTGGCTACGATCCCCGAAACGCCAACATTGATGATGATGTCATGGACGTCGATGCTGAAGACGAAGACGATGACGAGGGAGGAAGCAAGGCACCAAAGGGTGCCAAGAAGCCTGGTGAGAAGCAGGAAGAGACCCTTGCTGACAAGATGGCGCCTTGGAAAACTACAAAGGCCTTCATTGATGCCTGTGCCCAGAAGGCCATGCTTCAGTTGCATGGTGAAGGTGACCCAACAGGACATGGTCTTGGCTTCAGTTTCATCCGAACTTCCATGAAGGGCGGGTACATAGAGGCCGTTCAAGGTCCACTGGCGACGTCGGCTGACGCCATGGAACGTGAGAAGCGCGCTAATGGCGGCCACGCCTACAATGTCAAGAAACAGCAAGCAATGTATGAGGAGGGTATCAAGGAGATTTGGGAGAAGCAAAAGTCGACACTTTCCGACGCCCAAGAGCACGATGACAAGGATGTGGCGGTCACGGAAGACGAGGATGACAGATTCAACGTTCACGCCGCCGCAACCCCAGCACAATTCGACGATGGCACCAGTCAAATTAGTGGCTTTACATCGGCTAGTCGTCACGTGAAAAAAGCCATCCGTATTACAAGAGAGGTTCGCCTTCAAGATGGAACCACTCAGACACGAACCGAGGTCGTCCACGATCCCGTTGTCATTTCGCAGTATATGAAGCGTCGAACTGAGGCAGACTTGGAACTTAAGGAGTACGTGTTCAATATTATTAGACGCAGGCGGCGTGGGAGACCCCCTCTAGTTTGGAAGAGGCTGCCGTTAGGTGTCAAGGCACTTCACAAGTGGGCATGCCTAGGTGACATGCATCTCAGCCCCGAGAGACGACAAGCGCCGTCTCCAGGTGCTGTTGCTGATGTAATTGGATTGGAATTCCGAGCACCTGCTTACGTATATCTATCCACAGCATCTACAGCTCCCGGCCTACGGGCAATGCCGATCATGACCGTCTTGCAGGCATTAGGTATGTAGCTGAGTGACTTGCCACCTTGTCACAGCAAAGATGGTGTACTTACGCGCAACTTGCTACAGAATCAAAAAGGAACTCGAACGACTCGAAAAGAACAAGGCTCGACGACAGGCCCGAGAACAGCAAAAAGAGCTCCACCAAAAAGCCAGCGCTGGCGAAGCCGGATCACCTGGCGCTGTCGACAAGGTGCCCACTGGTACAACTCGCAAGTGTGCCAACTGCGGACAAGTTGGTCATATCAAGACAAACAAGAAGTATGACACCCCCAGTTTCCCCTCCTTTATATCCATCTTTTGATTGGTGGAGCGCTGCATCGCACAAGGAGGGTCAGGCAGTCCCGACCAAGAAGCAAACCAGGAGGAAGAGCGTCTTGCATCGCTTGATGAAGTCATCGAATCGCGAAGCCCGAGAAAGGGAGAAGCGGCGTCAAATTGAGGAGAGGGCGACTGCCCGGAAAGTAAGAAAGGAGGAAAACATGGCGGAGAAGTTGAAAGTTCAACGAGAGCGTGAGCAGAAGAAAATAGAGGACGCCCGACTGCGAGAGGAGGCAAGACGGCAAGAAGACCAAGCCAGGGAAGAAAAGAAGAGACGTCAGGAAGAGCTCCGCGCCGAAAAACAACAACAAGCAAACGAGCAGCGGCGCAAGGCGCAAGAAGAGAGAGAAGAAAGGCGCAGACTCCGTCTCGAACGCGAAGAAGAGAACCAGAGGAAGAGGGAAGAAAAGGCGAAAGCTCGTCCCAAGTTCAACTATGGAAGTTGCCGGCCGTGACAGTGTCGCACACCCGTTACTTTTGTTTTCAGGGCCCATTTTATCGCGTCATCAATATGGCTACCACGCACAACAACTTTTTGTTTGTTTCTTATTCATGAAGAGGTTGCTAACAGCTCTG